GGGTCGCAGGCTAAAATTCAGAAGGCATTATCCGTCTACGTGACCCTCACTTAGCTCGCCATTGACAAACGTAACAATATAGGCATTTACCACGGAGAAATATAATTGAATAGGGGCGGAGGGGACTGCGAGGAGGCCAGGCTGCCCCCTGGTTGCCCCTTTCCCTCGAAACGCCGCCCCCTCCTCGCCCCTCGTGATCCGCTCCACAATGCTCGCTCTCTGTCCCACGTCCCCCCTACCCAACGTAACTCCGTCCTCGTCAGGCCTGGCCGTGGATGGGGCCTCGGTCCCCCTTCAACGTTAGTTAGGTCCTTTCTAGGCTCACCTTTTTATTCCCCCCACCAGAGGGACCGCGCTCCTGCTGCGGCTGGCCGGGGTACCTGAACCCGGGGCCTCTCGCGAGGCATTCAGAGGCCCAAAGCAGCCACGGACCAGTCAGTTTGCTGCTGACTTCGGTCGGGACCGGTTCGTCTTTTTCCTCTCGCCGTGGCGCGTGCTCTCGCCTCTTCCTCCTCTTCCTCCCGCTTTTGTATCAACTCGCGAGCGTCGTGAGACTCCGTGACCGCTTTTTGCGTCGCGTAGACGCGAAGCGGTTGTTGCCGCCGCCGCTTTCACGTGTACAAGCTCGCCCTTTTGTTTTTTTTTTTTTTCCCCTCCCCTTCTTCCCCCTCCCCCTCCCCGTGCTTTCACGATCGTGTGTGGATCGTGCGCGTTCGAGGATCATCCATCCACGCGGGATGGTACGCGGCGCAAAGGGAAGCGTGTTGTTGGTCGCCGACGGCTACGAAACTTTGTAACGTGTACTTGGGATTATTACTGAGGGAAAAAGTGGAGGGAATCGTGTATTTGTATTTATCGAATTCTTTCTCCTCCGGTGGATGGGCACGTTTTATTAGTGGTTGGTTGGTTGGTGGGTGCCGAGGTTGGTTCGAAGGTGTTGTTGGTGATACACGGCCGATCAAGGACGAATGGTATACGGCCAACGTGTGAATACGTGAGAGAGAGAGGTTGGACCAGATAGGTCGCCA